AAATAAACTGATTTCAAAAGATAAAAAAAAAAAAAAAAAAGCCCAGCAAAGCATGAAATAACATAGGAAATGAATACGGGTCATTTTAGACCCATGTTGTACATTAGAAGGGGTTTTCATAGCTTGTGCATCAAAGGGTTAAAAATAAATGGTCCAATAGGGGGTTTTAACAGCAATGCAATAGAAGAAACTTTTTGGCTTTCAGTAAATGGTTCTTAAAATATCTATTTTATTTCTTAATAATGTGAAGAATTTTTTTTTGCTATATAAATAAACGTGAATGAAATAGAAAGGTTCTATGGATGTTAAAGGTTCTTCATAGAACCATCAATGCCAACTGACCCGTCTGACCCGGGAGATTGATTGACAGGCGATCTGACCAATCATAACGCTGAATCTGCCATTTTGTCCGACAAACAAACCAGACAGGACAGTAGATATACAGTACGTCGGTGGACCTGAACTTGAAAAATGGTGTGTATTGACGTCTTTCCGAGGTTGCAACAAGATGGCATGAGAGCGCCATGGCTTGTCCGACGTAGCAACAGTATCTAAGGGGGTTGGGTCTTTGCGAAGGGTCAATTAAGAATCTTTATTTTTAGGAGTGTACTGAAAATGAATATTCTGCACAGTGTGATCACGGTCAGTCAGAATGTGTTTAATACTTAATATACAGTATACATTTACACATTTTGGACTAGTGAGATTTGACTGTGGGCGGATCTACCAAGCACAATGAGCAAGTTCTGCACAGAATCAATTATTGATGAAATGTCAAACTCGATGCGACAGCGGCAACAGTTTTTAGAGTCAGTTAATAGACGAAAATGTTATTCTAGTATGTCATTTTTTATGTATATGAATATTGTGTAAATGGCCCACACTCTGGCAGTATGATCTCTATATAGAATATATGATTTCTTTGAAACAATTTATTCACCTAAAAATGGATAGAAAAGGATGTTGGTGGAATGAAATAGCAGGTACATTGTAGTGCAGTTTCATCTTCATGTTAAAGCATCTGTATTTCATATATCTGTTGCTTGCTTAAATATTTTTTATGTTCCACCACAAGATATGAAAACGGACAGACTGGTTCTTTATTGACTGTTCACCTGACTGCAGTCTTCTGCTCTTGTCTACACAAGTCTATCAAAATCATCTGACTGATCGAATGTCCTGACGTTTGCAGTGTTGAGTTCAGTTAGAACAAAACCATTCTGATTTTCAGACAGAGACAGCATTTGGTGCTTTAGGGGCTGGTTAAAACACAGTGTGAGTCTGCATCAAGAGAAGGCATAATTCATAACTCATTATGGAAATAACACTCAAAAAAGAAACACTTTTTTTTTGTTTTTTGAGAAAGTGGTTATTATTTAGTATGATATTCTGTTACATACTCGGGAACAGTGTGTATAACCATTTTCACTTTCTTTTTTAGTCACAGATAAAAATAAACTTAAAAGATGTTACAAATATAAATTGCTTATAAGACAATAAACACAATGTCAAGGAGACAAAAAGGCAGGGCTATGGAGTCTTACATTACCTAAAAAATAAAACAATGTCCTGAGACAGTTGCAGTTGTTCTCACCCATTTAACTTTGATCTTGTTCCAAGCGCCAATTATAATGTGAGGGAATAAGAGAGAACTGGAGGAGACTTCGGAGAGAATGGAGATTGAATCACTTGTCAAGAACGGTTACCGTACATGCAAGCAGTCTATTTTGGCAATGATATGCAAAGAAATCACAAATTAAAAGATCGCTCCAGGTCTATATTTAACAAGTTAAAGTGCACCATCATACAATCTGAACCGAGAATATTGAACAAATGTGAATAAATTAGACAGCAGAGGTCCCAAATTGGCACTTGTAACTTCATATTTTCTTGCCTGCTTCTGGTCTCTGCCTAACATCCAATTAAAATATTGGATCTGACTTAAAATGTTACACAGTCAGTCACCTGCAGACTCTAACCTGCATTAGGATATACTCTCTATCAAATACACAACACATATATATTAGCCTATAGTAATACACAAGTTTAACATCGATATCACAGATGGAGAGGAAGATCACTGGTATAAAACAATGTTCTTTTAGGAAAGAGGGGGGAAAAAAATCTATAAATTACAAAATTTTGAAGAAAATTTCATAAACATTTGATATTAGCATTGTAAAAATGATGACATCCCTAAGCCCTACATCTCTTCAGAGTCTGAATGGCTGCTAGTTTCAGTCTTGTGTATGTGATTCATCACTTTACTTTCATATTGAAGATCTTAGTGTGATTTAAACGAAAATCCTCCACTTTTCATTAATTTTCATAATCATTGGATGAAATCGCAGTATAGTAACTTTTTACCTCATGAAAGTTTGGCACATTTATCAAAACCGATTCCTAAAGAAAATATATTTCTACCCAAAAAAGATTACAAATTCTCTGGTGCCAGTGCCTCTGCCAGTCACATAATATATGTAGCTGAAGTCTGACTGAGAAATAACAATGCATGTCGGAGGTGTCTGCACTGACAGTGTGTGGATGCTGTAATTACCATTAACATGAGTTTAAAATAACCGATAGTGAGAGCCATGAGAGCCGAGCGCAGCTTCTGTTGTGTGGTGTTGGAAACCATTCAAAGGGCAGTTTTAATTAGAAAAGCAAATCAATGGATTGCGATTCGCTGCATCTCGACCTTTCCTCTCTCTCCTGAGAGAGTGTATGACAAACACAGTGTGAGGAGAAAGCCTGACTAACAGTGGTTTGTTTAACCGTACTGTGTTCTGTACTCTATACGCTTGCATTGGGTGCTCAAACTTAACATATTCCCCTCATTTACAAATGCAGAAGATTTCAGTGTGTGTGAGTCAGTATGACTCCAGTCACCCATAAGAGACTGTTTTACATACTGTTGCCTGCGGTGTTATGGACAGTGCAAATTGTGAAAGATACACTTCGAAACTAAATCTGATAAATACTCTTCTTTGTAATGTTTTGGACAGTTTTCAGTGCTGAGATGGAGAGGTAAATGTGGCAGGTCAGTAAGAGAGAGCTCTTAAAGATGACCAGTGGATCTTGAAAAAACACTAAGCTACAGTTCACTAAAATACTCTTCTACGAGAGGGCTAAAAGCTAAAAGCACAGTGACTTACAAAGAAATCACGAAGAAAACCTGTGACATGTTTGAAAACTGGCATCTCTTTGATTCGCATTTGCTTCACATATCTGCAGATTCACTTAATAAAACCTTTGCCTCTGCAAGAGAAACGTCTACGAATCTTTGAAGTGTTTACCGTAGATAAAGAGCAATATCTTTCAACCACCTCAGGTACCTTGTGGCACTGGCAGCTCTTACACAGCACAAATGTGTACACACGGTAGCACTAAGGCTAATATCAGCAGCTTGTTCATGTCGCTACATATATAGGATCTGTAATATATATAGAGAGGCGGTGATCAGAGATTAAATGGCTGATGGTGGGAATTACAGACTGGCAATATTCTTTTTTTTCTGTCAAAAGAAGTAAAGGGGACAGGCAGAATCATTCAAGTCAAGGTTTTGTTCAATCAACACTGCAAATAAAGTCCCTTTGCTGATATGCATACAGAATCACGCAGTCCTTTATGGCGTTTTTGGCCTTTTGTCAACAAGAGCGTGTTTGTGCGTCGAAAAATCCATTAGCGAGAGATCAAACCGCAGCCAATCATTGATTGTTTGCAGATAGCGAGGTGGACGTGAGCCAGATCAGGGGAGTTAGCTTGGTGAGATATAAACAGAACCGGCGTAATCATGAAAATAACAAACAAACAAACACCGCTAAATAGGATAGGCCCAATGCACAAAGAGTATGAAGTATATAAGGCTTCAGAGAGAAGTGAGGGTCAAGTGATCCTGTGATGAAGCGTCTGGAGCTGTGACGCACATCTTGAGGTTTGTTCTGCGTTCTGTATGCATGTACGTGTGGATGTGGATGTATGCGAATGCCGAAGGGCTCTTTCTCCATTCCTCTTCAGCCCTCCTCAGTGTTGTCCCCACTCTTGGGTCTTTGGCACTTGGCAAACGTCCTTAGCCGGCAAGCGATCATCGGACCATATGGTTTGCATTGTGGCGCGAACGGGATCTTTCCAAACCAGTGCGACGGTTGTCTGTTCAAAAAGAAAGCATGGGAGAAGACCAGTTAGGTGTGTTCACAACCGCAGCAGACAAAAATGAAACATGGGAGAAACGGGAGCGCAGTAAATAGTTTGAAAGAAGACGGGGAACAACATTAGACACAACAAAGGCAACTGATTAAAAAGAGAGCAACATAAGATGGTCTGGAGTCAGCTGCTTCTTGTCTGGTGTCATAGTAACACCATTGAGCTCCTGCTCCGGTCTCGTACTCGAGAGATCCTCCACCTATAACAACACAGCCTGGAGAAGAGACACTTAATGGTACGCACCCATACACAAGTACAAAACAGTGCGTACACAGCTGCACGTACTTATCTAAACACCCATAGGAGGTTCGTGTAGCATTTAAAGAGATAGTTCACCCAAAAATGGAAATTCTGTCATGTTGTTCCAATTCAGTGGAGTCCAGTGTTGTTCAGATTTCAAGTTTCTTTGCAATTCCTTTTGTGTTCCACAGACATAAAGAAATAATGGAATAAAATGAAGGTGAGTAAATGACAGAATTGTCATTTTTGGGTGAACTATCCCTGTTTAAACTATGAGATTCTATGTTTAAAGAGGATTCTTTTTTTTTTAAAACTAGGCCAGTAGGAATATAATGGAGGCAAGTACTAAATGTGCTAGTTGAACTTGGCAACTGAGGCCAACCCATTATGGGATCACACAAAAGGCCCTTTCCACTCCAAACATGGTGTAGTGAGGGGCTAGGTGGGGGCCATGTGGCAGGTGGAGCGGACAACCTTCCTCTTTCCCCTGCAGATTCGAGAGCCAACTCCATGCTTAAGCCGCCACACCTTTCCTACCTACCCTGGCAGGTCTACCTGTGCAACTGCCATTACTCAGTGCCAGGTGCCCATGCCACCATGGGCTGGGCATAGTTTAACGGAACAGGCCCCATTCATCATGTCAGGTAATGAGTTAGGAGCAAGTGGGCACCACAGTAAAGGTGGATTCATACTTCAAACGAAATTGAAGCCCAGCTCGTTTGCCAATGTCAGTAGCGGGGGCCGATGAGGAAACAAGCTAGAAATCGTTTTTTAAAAAAAGGCTGGTTTATGGCTTTGTCTGGGCAAAGACATTTTTGTAACAAGACAAAGGTGAAATAAAACAGTCACAGTTGTTGTTGTTTTTTTTTGTTATTACCACCGTTACAGTGCAGTCGAAAGCTCAATGTTGGTTGATTATAAGAGCAAGTGCTCTGTGCACTTCCCCTTTTTGAGTTTGCCTAGAGCCTTTTAATTCAAGCTTCAGTAGACGTATAAATCTGTCCTAACAAGGATACTCACCACAGGGGAGGGACAATGCTAATAACAAGAGGGTAATACAAAGAGATGGAAGAGATGTGGTTAGGTAGAGAGAGGAACAGATAAATGAAAAACAGAGCACAAATGGAGAGAGGAAATGTGCAGTTCTCTGCAGGACAACTTCCTCTGGCATTGGTAAAAGTCGAGGACGCTGAACTTTGAACTCTGCATGGAAAACACAATATGAGTTGAAATGACGGCTGAGTCTTTCATCCACTTCCACTTCAAAAAGCCAAGCGCCTGAAGGCCTCCAGTCTCTTTCTCTCTGAACTGAATGGGCACTGCACATTGACAGCAGTGATAAAAACAAAGAAATTTCTAGAACTTGTCAGAGTATAGGCTGTTATTTCAGATTTTATTTACAATTTCTACAAAGGGGGCTTTTTAGGAGCATGGTGGCATACTGATAAATGTACAGTATAGGTTGAATGCAAAGTATAAGCTACTTTGGATAAAAGTGTCTGCCACTACATATGCCACTAATATAACAACTATACTACTACTACTACTACTACTAATACTACTACTACTAATAAAATGTTAAAAGGGGAAGTAAAAATCTAAACTAATAGCCTGTGTCTACACAGAGAAAATCCTTATTGCTGAGCCATCATTCAAAAACATTGCTTGGGAAATATAGTTCATCATGTCAGGACTACACACTCAGTGTGACACCATGTAGGATGAAGAAGGGTGTGGGGGGCGGGTCAATATTAAACAGAGGAAATACCCACACTGAGAGCGAGGGAGTGGATGACAGAGATGGCAAACAAATGCCTAGTTCAAACACTGCCATTGTTTTGCCAATTGCTTCCAAGATGCCTATTTTGTAGGTATATTGGAAGGTGCCACACAGACTACAGTCTTGTTGGAATCTGGGAGGGCTAGTGGCAGTTCCTCAAGTTTGTGGTCCAAATTGAAAATGGATGAAAGTATTATGGCATTATTGTTCGAGAGTGGAACATAGAGACGTTTGGAGCATTTGGCCAGACAGGGAAAATAACTTCTAGAGAGCAACACTTCAGATAATTGCTCGAGCTCAACAGATTGAAGATGAGATTTAGATGGGGAAAAAAGTCTATGCTTCAACTAAATGGGCAGAAAAGACAAACCAACCACCCACCAAAACAGACTTTCCTCCTTCTCTTAATTTGGGTTGAAAAGCTCTCTAAGTTTCTGATCTCAGGCACTTTAGTCTAAAATACCCAATCTACAGCAACAATCACACCAACCAGCAGCGGTTTCTATTGGGGGACACATAATGAAGCTATTCTCTAAAGGGTGAGCATTCACTTCCACAATAAAAATACACCACTAGACAATTTCAGGAGAACTGTGCCACTGATCACAAATCTGTCAAGTGCTTTTGGGTTTGATGGCTTTTTTTACCTGCTTTTCCCGGAGGCAACATCTTTAGGTTGGATGCACAAAGAAAAAGAATGGGAGTGAAAAAGATTGATGAAAAAATAAGAACATCTGGTTTTACGCAAGACAAATATCTGTATTCCAGGACTTAATTAAATGAAGCTATTGTTTCTCAGTGCTTAGTGAGTGTTGATGGAGGAGGTGGAGTGAAACATGATCAAAACGTCACAATACGTTGCAGAGGAGTGGGGGATCATGGGATTAGCACAGACTGGCGAACAACACATTACTAAAAAGCACACAAACACTCACAAAGGACTGAGGAGTCGTCGTAGGCTTGAATGCCTATCCGACACTTTCAGTGTATGATTGAGTGATAGGCCCCAGATGGCCCCCTGTGCATTCTTCTAAAGCGATTAAACGACATGATGAATTTTGCATTACTGTCATCTGCCTGTAATTACATGAAGTTACATCATCAGGAGAGTCCTTTGGCACAAGGTTTGCTCCATGAATAACAAATAAGCTTCAATCAACAGTCAAGTAGTAACTATGTGAATAAACACAGGTAATTATGACTGAATCATTTACATGTTTGATGCAATTCAAATATTCAATATGTATGCAATAAATATTAAATGCGCAAAGACAAATATTTTCAAATAAACACTTTTTGGTTATGCATCTGTTGTTTCGAATAGACCTTTGTGCCAAGAAAAAACACACAGGCACACACACACATACCGTAATGTGCAAACTTGTATCACTTCATATTTTTCCAATGACAAAATGTAATAAAGGTGATTAAATCACTGAGGGCCATATGTCAACACACAATGTTTATCGCTTGTGGGCCCAAATAAGCTTCAATCAACAGTCAAGTAGTAACTATGTGAATAAACACAGGTAATTATGACTGAATCATTTACATGTTTGATGCAATTCAAATATTCAATATGTATGCAATAAATATTAAATGCGCAAAGACAAATATTTTCAAATAAACACTTTTTGGTTATGCATCTGTTGTTTCGAATAGACCTTTGTGCCAAGAAAAAACACACAGGCACACACACACATACCGTAATGTGCAAACTTGTATCACTTCATATTTTTCCAATGACAAAATGTAATAAAGGTGATTAAATCACTGAGGGCCATATGTCAACACACAATGTTTATCGCTTGTGGGCCATAGAGGGAGGTGAGGCAGAGAGAGAGAGAGAGAGAGAGA